TCCTGTACAGAGACACACGTCCTGCCACAGACTGCCCGAAAAGAGCCTGAATGCCATGTGCTACTTGAGGTGCTTGAAGTCCTTGAGGTAGCAGAGATGACCACTTTTCCATTTGAAAAAACAACTTAGAATTTTCCGGGGTTTTGGCTGTGTTGGCAGCATCCAGACGGAGCACGGTGAAGAGATGTCCAAGCTGGCATCTCTGCAGCGTGACACGCTGTGCAGATATTCCCTTGGGTCTGGAGGCAGTCGAACCGTGTCCAGGCTAAACACACCAAGCTCACCATCGTGACTCTTGTTCTCTGGCGTAGCGTCTCCCCGATGCGGCGCCACCATTTTGCTCCCACAGAAGGCTCAGTCCGCAGCAGCTCAGCCTTTTCCGTCCCACGGCACATAGTGGTGGGAGCTGCCGAAGAGCTGGGGGAGCCTGGAGCCCGTATCGGTTCATCCCGGTGTCTCACGTGGGGTTATTGACAGTTACAGGGGGTGAAGGAATCAAAAAGCTGAGGAGGTTCAGAAAATCCAGATTCTCGTTCAGATCATCAAAATGGCTTCTGCAGAACAGCGAGGCACGTAGGTTGAATCGTGGTAGATCTCTGACCAGTTCAAAATACGTATCACAAGAAAAAAAACCCCGAAACTGCCCTCAGTTTTTGTCTGCACAAACCCAGTAGTTCCCTGGAAACATAACTCCAACCTATGGAAAGGTTTCCAAGGCTTTTCATGGAAGGAGGTCAGGTCGCTTTGGAATACTTCCTGCTTCCGAGGTAAACATTTTTCCTAGCTCTGGTAACAAAAATTTTCCTGTTGCAGAGGATCTCTTTGTCAGTTTGACCTTAAAGCTGCTGAGCTGCTTATTTTCCTACGTCCTAATGACATTAGAATATAACGAAGATTAGTAGTTTGTGTCAGAGGGTCTCTGTGGGTCCAGTTGCCCCGATGACACCCTGGTTTTTATTTATTAGGTATTTATATGAGTCAGGAAATGTCTCTAACTATATGGAGTAGGGAAAATAACCTTAAAGGGTATGAAATAACCTTAAAAGGATATGGATTTCAGAGTAGAAGATAACTCCTGAAAAAAATGAGGATTAAAAAAGAAACCCTTCCCCAAAGAGCTGTAGTTTCTCTTTAATTCTTTTCTTCCTTCGAGAGCCCTTGGTATTGGTGGATGTAGAAATTAGGATGTGGGACTACTGGGAGTAGGACTGATTTTGTGCTAGGCAGTTTGGAACTGTAGCCTGGAAACAGTTCGGCTTACTGGTGATACTTCTTGTCTTCGTGTATGGGCCTCCTGACAGCTCCTTCAGACAAAATTAACCTGCATTGGGACCATCAAGGTGACCCGATTTATTTTTTTTTTCTCAGCTATTATGGTTTATTTTTATGTCTTTTCCAGTCTCCATTTTTTACTCGCTGTGCTTACTGCTACAGTCCCAGGCTCCCAGCACAGCTATTACTGGTGATTTTAAGTCTTCTTGTCACCTTGCTTTGCTTTAATGTCGTGTATTTTTTATAGGTTAAATCCATTTCTAGAGGCCTGGTAGCACCATCTCTCTCAAAGGGTAATATCCTTTTCCACTGGTGCTTTTTTGTCTGTTTCGTTTTGGGATACTCATGGGTTGTTTCTCACTTTCTCTCACTCCCACTCTCCAGGTAATTGTGGAAAAAGCACCCAAAGCCAGAGTACCCGACCTAGACAAAAGGAAGTACCTTGTGCCTTCTGACCTCACAGGTAACAGAGTCCGCCTCCTTTCTTCCTGATGTGCAGAGCGAAGGTCTCAGAAGTGCTTTTTATGATCAGCACCAAGAAAATATCCAGGCAGGCTCAACATCTTATCGTTACCCCAGTTTACCAGTTACCCCAGTTACCTTTGTTATATTTGTGTACCTTACAGCCCGGATTGCAACACGCAGAGTTCTCGGAGACCTTCCGAGGTGTCCCACTGACTTAGGTCACACGCACGTGCCACAGCCGACTTCCAGACGTGGTGACAATGACTCGGCTGTGTGTCACAGGCAGTAGCACAACCATCCGCCAGTGGTGACCTGGCTGCAGAGTTGCCAGAGGCTGTGTCCTTGTTGCAGGAAGAGACAAGTTCTTGAACCAGTCCCGTCGTTTTCCACCCCTGGGGTTGGAGTCATGGCCCCAGAATTCCTTTTCCACATAGTCATTTGGTGCGTGATTGCATTTGTTTTCCATTGAGAACGTGAATGAGTTAAAGGAACAGCATTTCTTTTTCTTGCAATATAATGGATTGCAGAATGCTTTCTTGTGCCATGTAGCTCCAGGAAATAGTGAGGAATTTGTTTTCAGGAACGGTATGACCATTTACACCGAGGCTAAATTCCCTAAGATGTCTTCCACCTATAGGATTTAAGGGTTAAACTGGTTAGAGGTCTTCCCACCAGTCCCCACAGGAGAGCATTTTATACCACCGTAGATGGAGTGTGGATTTAGAGGGTACACAGCCTGAGACACGTACCTGGGAAACTGCCAGCTCCGAGGGGATCGGCTGCTAACGTGGTTACAGTCATGAAGTTACTGCTCTCTTTCCTGCATTGTTCATTTTTCCCTACTTTTTATGTACAGCATGTGACTTCCACCACCAAAAGAAAACAACCATGGTTAAAGTGAAAAAAAAACAAAACCAAAAAAAACCCCAAACCAAAACATTCTTTCTGCATCTAAGGCGTTCTCCTCTGTTCCTCTTCAGTTGGCCAATTCTACTTCTTAATCCGAAAGCGGATCCACCTGAGGCCAGAAGATGCCCTGTTCTTCTTTGTCAACAACACCATCCCTCCCACCAGTGCGACCATGGGCCAGCTGTACGAGGTAAGATTGGCCCATCTCTTTCTCGTTTTGTTGGAGTGGCCGGGAGAAGGCATATCCTCACTGAAGGACAGCTGGCAGTGGTGCAGCTTGATCACGGGTGCCTGAACATGGACCCCCTTGGCCTGGGGCTGTATCCCGTCATCTGTTTCAGGAAGTTCCATCCTGCAGTTAGAAAGGGGAGCCTGGCGAGCCTCATCATTTTGATCGTTTGTGTGCTGGTTGACAGGGTGGTGGTGGGTAGTTGCCCCGGCAGTGACGTGTTGGTCCCACTACTTTAACAAACACACTGTTTTGGAGGAAACACTGTGTCTGGGATGGAGAGGGAACACACGCGCTAGCTGTCCTGTTTGTACAAAAGAGATTGCCTTTTAGCCAGAAAAAGCACAGTATCATTGGGCAACCAGCTGTCTATAAATCCCCAGTGAAGGAACACTTACTCTTTGTTCTGAATTTCCTCTTCGTAGCAGGTACTGTATATGTGAGGGTCTTGTAGGACACTGTGAGCGTTGCTGCCCACCACTTCTGCTGAGCAGTGTTGTTTGATTGACCTTAAAGGCATATTCTGTGCCCATCAGAGGAATGTTCCTCCATTATATAGCCATCATATCATGGCTGGTTTGCAGCCTGGATTGATTTCTCCTTGATTTCTCCTTCTGCTGTGTTAGTGTGTTTTAATGGGAGAGCTCCAGTGCGGTGCTGTGAGCCTGGTTCGACCTACCACTTTTTGACAATAACTGGACAATGTGTGTGTGGACTGATGAAGATAATATAAGATTAACACACGGAGGGATTTTTCCGAATCTAACTGTCCAGAGCGGAGATCAGGACCCTGCTCCTGGCGCTCTGCAGACGTTTTGTGTCAGTGTAAGCACTTGACAGCTCAGCTTTACCGCCCGTATGTACAACAGGACTAGAAATACAGCCACTTGTCGGAGTGTTCTGAGAAACGACGAGTACAGCCACGTGTACCAAGTAACTGGAGTACGGAGAGGTGATTTTCGACTTGTTAAAGCCTTCCAAGCCCCTCCTCGCAGTCCTAAGGCCACCCCAGTGCCGGGATTCTGCTGCACAGCCTGCGAGCTCTTTCAGTTGCAGGTTTTATTTCAGCACGCTCTGGCCGTGGCTCTTCCAAGTAGATTCCCTGTGTCGGAGACGCGATGTGCCTGAACGTAGAAGCAGAGCTGTGGCCAGAGAGAGCTGCTATATGCTCTCCTCGTTAGGAGGAGGAACAGTGTTAGAGAGGCCGTGCCCTCCTGTTGGTACAATGATCTCTCTGTTGGGCTTTTCCATGCGTAATGGGATACAGGGCTTTGGTTTGTTACTTTCTCCCGTTCTCCCCTTGCAGGATAACCACGAGGAGGACTATTTTCTCTATGTGGCCTACAGCGATGAGAGCGTCTACGGCAAGTGAGCAGCAGCCCCCCAGGCACGCAGGCGAGATGGACTGATGGAGTGGATTTGGAGGGGGAGGATGTTGGAGAGGAGGAAGGAGAACGCCTGAGAAGAGGGGAAGAGAACTGGAAGCGAACCACATGCACAATGCCATCACCTTCCATGCATTAATTATAACCATTATTTTTCAAATTGAGGGGAGGGAGGGGAGGGGGACAGTGTCTGAAAGGGTGAACCGAGAGGCTAACGAGGGGTTCTGCGGTGAGGGGTGGGGAGATTCCACTGCTCCTAGTTCTTCTCTTGCCACAGCTGGAAATAGTTAGCCCGTCCCGGAGGCGGCCGGAGGAGCCGGTGTGGTGGAGCTCCGGGAGTGGCTGGGCACGGTGGCCGTTCTGGTGTAACCCTTTCATTGATGAAGGCATGCCGTGTACTGCACACTGACCTTGTCACGCCTGGCCCACGGCACGGGCCGCGCTCCCGCGAGCGTTCCGTGAGCCGTGAAGTGCTTCACTTGCCCACACAAGGCTGTCCGGAGCCGACACTCCTCACCCAGCTGCTACTGTGAAGTGTTTGAGAGTATTGCGTTTGCCATCACTGCCGTCAGTGTTGGAAGGGCTGACTCCGGGCTGGGACTCCTCAGCTGGGAGACCTGAAGGTGGGAGGAAAGAAGGAAAGATTTTATTTTTTTCCTTTGTTGCTTTAATTGCAAGTGCTGGACAGAAAAATTCGAGACAACCCTTTTGTCCTTTCCAGTGAAGCCAACTGATAAACTCCCAAGTGTAGGGCCAGAAAGGACCTCGAGAGAATGACTGGCCCGCTCCAGCTCTGAGACAGGACTGAGTGTCCCAAACGCGTCCCCCGTGGCTGCTCATCTAACTCGTTGGTAGTGAACGTCACCGAGCAGACCCTGGAGGCTGCTGAGGTGGTCTGGTCGGTTCCTAGCCAGCCCACAAGTGGGAGAGCTTTTCTTGCTGCCCAACTTCAGTTCCCCTTGCTGTGCGTTAAGGCAACTAACTACTAATGCTCTTGGTGGTGGTGAACACAGAAAATTATCTCTCGGTGTTGTCCTGGTCCCAGCCTTCTGCAGAACCGGAGATGGCAGAAGTCCTGTGAGTTTGACCTTCCCTTCCAGGTCTCATCCCTGTACAGCTCTTGCACAGCATGCGCAAGCGGAAGAAATCAGTCGCTCCCACCTGTGTTTTTGCTGTTTTTTTGTGACTGGACGACAGTGCCACTCTTTGCCACAAGAGAGGTGCTTGTAGACTTGAAGGGGAAGGGGAGTAGATTGTCTGTAGATTTCTTTTTTTAAATTATTGTATTTTAAGCCAGTGTTGATTGTTAGAAAGATGCCAGATAGATGCTGTCCTGTGCAAGCCTTACGCTGTCATGCCAAAGCAGTTTCTTCCCAGTGGCACAAACGGCAGATTTTCCCACAACTGCCATAACCTGATGAAGGGATGGGGTTTGGGGAGTGAGCTTTCAGGAAAATTCTGGAGTTTCATCTAAAAATCAGAGAACTGGACCTGAATTACTGTAAACATTCCTACATTTACGGGGGAGACCAAGGGGGAGGAGAATACAAGAAGGATGAAGAAAGGCAAATTCCAGAATCAGCTGAGGGTGTTTGCTCTATTTGCAAGTCAGATCCCAGCTCTCTCATTCCTCAGGAATGAGAAATCAGGAGGAGTGCTCCTCTGATTGTGGGAGAGGGGAAATCAGGTTTCAGCCTTCTCTGGCTGTTGTCCCACAGAGGCACGCGGGGCAGAAGAGCGGCTGGGGGTGTGACGTGGGAGTCTCTGGTGGAGCTGTGCGAAGGTCGGGGAAGGCAGGGCAGGGGGCAGGAGGGTGCCCGGATGGTGTGGGAAGTTGCAGGAGAATGGGAGATAGAGGAGGGAGCGCAAAGGGTGTAGGCAGAGGAGTCATAATGGGCAGACAGGACATGGGGGAACAAAGGATGGAATGAGTGGGTTAATACTCCCGAACTTCAGGTTTACTGCTCCATCCTGTGCTCGTCTGGAATAAATGTGTTTGGATGAGTTGTACCTACCGCCAGTTTTGGTAACTCCAGTTTCCGCAGTGCCCACTCCTCTCTCTTTGGCCCACTCCTCCAGTTACCGGGCTCCTTTCCCGTCCGTTGGGTGCAGATCCGCGTCAGCCCCTTGTTCCG